CCCAGCAGGTGGACAGTGGGGGCCCAGGGAGGGCTGTGTATGTGACCTCCATCTGTGTATCTCTGGCACCTGGAAAGGAGTGGGAGCTGGTGGTGCAATCAGGTCAGACCCAAATGGCCTTGATACAGCTGAGCCATGCCAATATCATGTCCTTTTTGTAGCAGCATGAGCTAGACTGGGCTGGGAATGAAGGCTGAGCCTCCATGTCCAAATCTGCCCCCGGGATCACCAGGCAGGCATATCCTCACTGTGGATCCTGGCACTAACTGTGAGGTGACCTTGTTGCTTTGCAAAGCACCTTGTCAAAGCACAAACCCTGGCTGTGTTGCCCTTCTTCCCAGAACAGAGGCACTTGGCCAAGGTCATCCAGCAAGGAGAAACACACACACATGATGGTTGTGAGACATCATGACCAGCTAGTACAAGGGGAGGAATCCATATGTCCAGACTCCCAGGCCCCCTCCCAATTCTTTGGAGGCAGCTGGTTCTCCTCCCGGGGAGCCAGGAGCCTGGGTGATGATTACAATCTTGCTTTTGGCAAGCCATGCATTATTCCTCATATATAAAAAGGGTCATAATCCCAATCCTGAGGGTTTACCCGAGCCAAAGAAATTTCAACTGACTCAAACAGAAACCAGTCTGGACTGAAGGCTGAGCTTCCAACGTGGCCTTGAGCCAAGGGGAAGTTGTACCCTTCCAGAGCCCAGGTGTTGGCCCACAATCACCCAGCACAGCCCCAGGAACTGCTCTGTTTCCTTCTTCCTGCACAGCAAGCTCACAGTTCAGGGCCAGACTGGAGGCCCAAGTTAGATCCGGAGCATGGGACAATGGGACAGAGACACGGAGTGAGTGCGTGTGTGTGCGTGTGTGTGTGTGTGTGTGTGTGTGTGTGTGTGTGCACGTGCGCACCAAGCTCAGGGCCAGACTGGAGGCCTAAGTTAGATCTGGAGCATGGGACAATGGGACAGAGACACGGAGTGAGTGTGTGTGTGTGTGCGTGTCCGTGCACATGCACACCAAGCTCAGGGCCAGACTGGAGGCCTCAGTTAGATCTGGAGCATGGGACAATGGGACAGAGACACTGAGGGAGAGTGAGTGTGTGTGTGTGTGTGTGCGCGTGCGCGCACGCGCGCACGCATGTATGCATGAGCCAGTGTGTTGGTTTCAGTGGGTCGAGACTAGGTCATACCAAGCCTGGCTGCCATGGGGGAAGGGTCGCCTGCCTGGCAGGCACTGGGCAGTCTGGGGTTGAAGTGGGAGGTCTTTGGCGGCCACAGAGAACAAAGGACTTAAGAGTTGCCAGGGTATTCTGTGGAGCTGAAGCCAGCAGTGCAAGGTCTGGGAGAGGGACATTTCAGCTGTGGGAAAAGCCTCTGCTGCCCCCATGCCAGCATCCAATGCAGCCAGCCAGGGCCTCTGGACCCACACTGGGGATGAGATGCCCCAAAGCCCTGTACCCTCCCTAGAACTGCACAGCTGTCAGGGGTGGGGAGCAGGAGATGCTGTGGATAGACACACACAGGGCAATGATCTGTACCCCTTAGGGTTCCATGGGCACAGTGACAAATTTACATTGCACACCTCCAGCATTATGCAGACAATATGCAGGGTCACAACACGCTCATTACTTACATCACACACATCCTCTCTCTGATATCTCAGGGTCACATCCATGACAGTTATGGACACTCGGTATCATGAAGTTTTGTCCCAGAGTTGCACAACATACAACAACACTGTATGTTCAATACCACAAACAGAATGACCCAGTGTTACACACTCAGTTGTACAGCTTGGTATCTATCACACTGGGTTTGTACAGGACTGTACAAGGGTTACAGGATCACATAAACAGTATCACTGAACATTCCAATGACATCACTGTTATATGGATCCATGGCCACATGAGGCCTTAAATGTCTTCCACACCATTGCAAGCCCGCTTTCGTGTCACACGCTGGTACAAAGTCATATTCCGGGACACAGCCATGGCCACAGCCACAGCCTCACAAGGTTCTTCTGGGCATAAGAGTCTCTCTCTCTCTCTCTCTCCACACACACACACACACACACACACACACACACACACACAGTCCCTGTGTTGCTGGACTTGTCTCCAGCATTATGCCCAGCCTCTCATACCTTGCCACCCTCAAAGCTAGTTCTGAATGCTAGACCTTCGGGAGGGGGTACAGGATGCTGGGTGAAGGCTCCTAAATCACCAGGAGGCCATATTTCCATCCCTGGCAGGGAAAGGGCTCTCACAACTCCACCCCAGTGTCCTCTGTCAGCAGGAGAGGGGCAGCACAGGGATAAAGGGACAGCAGACTCTGAATGTGACAAGGGGACTCAAAGGTGTGCAAAGACTAGGTAACAGGACTTGCAGACCTTTAATCCATATGGTCAGAAAGTAGGACAGGCTGGCTGGTGAGCGCCAGGGCCGTAATGTACAGGTGACAGGCCTTAGGGAGAGTACCAAGGTCAGGTCCAGCTAAAGGGGCCTTTTTAAGGAGAGAGCTCTGGAGAATGATTTTATTTTAAAGAAACACAGTTTGGGGCTGGGGAGGGAGGGAGGGCTCATCAGTTGAAAGCACTGGCTGTTCTTCTAGAGGACCAGAGTTCAATTTCTAGTATCCTCACCATGGCTTACAACTGCCTGTATGTAACTCCAGTACCCTGGAGTACAAATGTAGAGTACAAAGACTACAAACAGGTCAACACCCACACACAATTTAATGGAAAGACACTCCCAAGAATGGGAGTGGGCTGGTGAGCTCAGGAAAAGCTTTTTGAGACAAGATCTTGCTACATAGCCCTGGATGTCCTGGAACCCACTCTGTAGACCAGGCTGGCTGTGAAATCACAGATCTGCCTCTGCCTCCTGAATTAAAGGTGTGCCTCATTACACTGACAGAGCCTGGTGTAGCTTGGAATAACTTCCAAACTCACCACATAACTAAGGTTTTCCATATTTCCTGATTCCATCTTCCTAGTGCTGGGATGGGGGGGGGCATGCCATCAACATAAAGCTTTTTTGTTGTTGTTTTCAGACGGGGTCTCTCTGTATTGCTTTGGAGCCTGTCCTGGAACTAGCTCTGAAGACCAGGCTGGCCTTGAACTCACAGAGATCCACCTACTTCTGCCTCCCGAGTGCTGGGACTAAAGGTTTGTGCCACCAAGGCCCAGCTTCATACAGCTTTTGTTCTTTTCAGACAGGGCCTCTACCTCAGACTACCCTGTCTCAGTCTCCCCACAGCTGGGGTTACAGGTGTATACCACTACAGCTGGCCCAAATATTTTTCTATGTGTACGTGTATGTGTGCATGTGTTGTTTATGTATGGGTGCCTGAGGCGGCCAGAAGAGGGTGTTGAATCCTCCAGAGTTGAAGGAACAGGTGGTTGTGAGCCATGTATGCTGGGAACCAAACTCTAGTCCTTTGGAGAAACAGCTAGTACTCTTAACCACCGAACCACCTCTTCAGCCCTGAGAATAGTTTTAATACCATTTGCCACTGACCAATGCTTACTATGCACCAGGCCCTGCCTTCGTGATGGTGGTTCTTCCTTAGGAGAAATCACTTTCCAGGTCACGGTTTGGCCGCAGCAGCCATCCCCTCCCCTCTGGTTTCCTCCACACACTGTGGCTGGCTTCCATTTCCACAGTGCCCTTGGGTACATTAAGGCCAAAACTGGAAGTGAGGGGCTTTGAACTTAGGGTGTTTCTGCACTGAGGGGTGGGTCCAGGTGAGGGGAGTCACACATCCCCTCCCATTAAGGCTGGCACTGGGGCCACCCACCCCACACCTGGAATTGTGCCAGAGGGCCGGCCTAGGCCATCTGCAGCCTGCATGCTGCCAGCAAAGGCCTCTAGCCCAGTGCCCCCTGCTGGCCATCGTCCCCACACCCTCCCAAGCCCTCCCTTGAGTTTCTGGAGGTGCTGGAGTGAGGTGCCCCCAGCTGCAACACCTCCCCCTACTCCCTGCTGGACACCCCCCTTTGGCAGAGCCGCCTGGAGAGATCACAGGCAGCCACATGAAAGGGAATTTTCCTAGGCAGAGATGGAGTTGAAAGCCGCCTCCCCCGCCCCTGCCTCCCCCTGCTGAGTCAGGCCAGGCTACTGAGCCCCTGTGCTCCAAGGGAGCCTGTGACACAGGGAAAGGGTTGGGGGGTCAGGGGTACCTCCTCCCTGCTTCCCCTTTCCAGGGACAATAGCAGAGACAGCCCATCTCCCCCACCTCACCACCCACTCAGCTTTAGAAAGCCCCACCTTCCTTTGTTCTGAAAGTCCTCACCCACCTGAAACCTTGTCAGGAAGTTCTTCTACAAGTCTAGCTTCCATCTCTGCCAGGTTCAGGGCAGCTGGGGGTGGGTGGGGGGGAAGAGGAGACCCTCTTCCAGTAGTAGGCTACGCTTCACCCTTCAGGTTAGCCTCCAGGACACGTGAAGAGTGGCATGCACATGACACATCTTTCTGTTACAGCTGCCCTGGCACAGAGATGGGCCTTGCAGTGATTTCCCCAGACACCTGTCTTCTGAGGTTCAAGACTACCTGGAGGCAGGGGCACAAGGCTGGAATGGAAGGGGGTCCAAGGGCAGGCCATACTGAAGGCACAGTTGCCATCCAGAAACCTAGGAAAAAACTACTCCCAGAGGAATTGTGTGGTTGGGTGGGTGAGTTGAGTTGGCTGCCGTGTAAAGACCTGGACAGACAGCCCACCCCTATGCCACAGATGGCCTGGCACTAGTCAGGCCAAGGTAGGCGACACTCCTAGTGGTCTCCTGGGATGCACCAGGCTTTCCATGCAGATACAGTTCCATGCTGTTTCCAGGGTGGCTGTTCCTGCTCTCACCTTACCCCAAGTCCAGAATGATTCTTTCAAACAGACTCAACTCTAGCTCTCCTCAGGATACCCTTCTCTCAAGATAGTCCCACATAACCCCCAGCCCAGCCACAGCCCCCAGCCAGCCCCCCAAAACCCAAGAGCAAGAAGCCAGCAGTGTTCATCATGACACAAACATGCATTCAGTTTTATTCACAAAACAGCCTGGTCTCCTAAAACAATACAAACAGCATGTTCCTCGGCAGGGAGCTGGCCACAGGCGGGGAGCCCCTTGGGCACCTACTACCGATAAGCAGGGGACCACGAGGAGAAGCCCTTTCTTCTGTTGCTGTGAGCAAGATGGAAAAAGGAGGGCTTATTTTCTCTAGGGGAAGTAGCCAGGATTGAGATGTGGGCTCCCCAGATCTCAGTGGATCAACGAATGAATAGAATTTTCATCTCTCCAAAATCCGTCACTGTTGGGGTGGGGGATCCCAGCCAGGGGACGGTGGGTGCAACATGGCCGGGCCTGGGCCAGGAACTCCCAGTCCCAGTGGGCTCTGACTGCGGCTCTGCACACGTGGATGGGTACAGAGGGGCTTCTACACGGTGCCATCGACATTCTCTTTATAAACGTGAGTGGATTCTCCAGGCAAACTATGCACTATTTCATGGTTGGAAAGAATCAAAGGAAGTTAAAAATGAGAGCGGAGTTAAAACTGTGCTAAATTACAGTAGTGCTTATTAGTAACTAGATTGCAAAAGGTTACAGAAAATTTACATTCTCTACACAAAAACGGCATCTCCCGCACAGACAACATCGACATTGACACAGGAAGGAGACTGATTGTCCATTCTTTGCCCAGGAAGTCTCGGTACTTTATAGATTTGTCTTTACCTCTTTTGTTGTTGTTCTTCTTCTGAAAAAGCAGTTAAATTTTTTTCTTTTTCTTTTTATACTAGGGACGTGGAGATGTTAAAATGACAACAAAAAAAATATATATATAAAAACAGGAATGAAATCTGTGAGAGAATATTTTTGGTTCTAAAGACGGGTGTATCCGTTTGTCTTCGCCCGAATCCCTTGCCGGAGACCACACGAGCAGTGACATTGCACGGAGAGGGCAGCTTTGGGTTCCCGGCCGTCACTGAAACCACCGGAAGGCAGCTCCCGTCGGAAGCATCACCTTCTGGTGGGCGGGAGACAAAAACAAGGAGAAAGTTCAGTCAGGGTCCCGGTGGACCTGGTGCAAGAAGCTCCCCGAGGCCGGCTCAATGGTGGAGGGACGGGCATGGAGACCGGGCAGTTACCCCGAAGAGTTCCTGTTATCCTGGCTGGACAGGATAGGCCGGCCAAAGAAGGAGCCATGACCCACTGGCTACCCAAGGGCCCAGAGCACCCGGAGCCTCCTGAGCCACTGTACTCAGGAGCCTTCCTTCTGGACCCCTTTCCCTTGGCCCAGATCATCAGGTAGCCATAGTACTCCTGGGGCCACAGCTGCACTGTCAAATGAGTGTGAACACTGCCGTCTGCCTGCACTGGGCTTGACTGCGTGGTATATATGCAACTGGGATAGGGAGGCAGATATCTGGCGTTCAGGAAGCAGACAAGACTATTGATGAGGGGCAAGTAAGTGTACATGTGGATGTCTACACTGGAGTGGGTGCCCTGGTGCGCTGGTAGGTAAGCAAGACACGAGAGGCTTTGGTCAGAAAGGTGGGAAAAGGCCATGGCTAGGACACCATTGTCTTCCAACCATTATGGGGTCAAAGCCTACTTCCAAGAGGGGTGGGGGTCTAGTGGCAGGGATAGCAAACTACAAAGCTGCTTTTGAACCCGGCTCGTTTACCATATCTGGGGACACAGGGACAGGCTCTGATATAAGGAGAGACAGCCCCCTGCAGTTATGCAAGGCTCATAGCTAAGATTGAGCTGAGCTGGCCCTCCCTACCTCCAGGCAGGGTAGCCAGCATTGCAAAAGCTGTATTTTGGGTAGCCAGGTGTGTGTGTGTGGGGCAACTCTGGGAGGCAAGTTGTAGGGCTTACTCTCAAGGCCACAGGGACTCCTGACAGAACCTTTCAGATGGGCTAGGGACAAAAGAGTCTTAGGTTACTGCTTTAGGACATGTCTACAAGACAGACTTGGTACCTATGTAGAAATACCTGATCCAGGCCCTAGGAGGGGGCATCAGAGTCCCAGGGCCTCAGTGGGTATGCCAGGCCCCTACCTGCAAGCCATCGCTTGCTGGCATCTCAGGATGTGGCTCTGACTTTTAGGGCAGTGAACAGGTACCTGTAGCCAGACTTCCAGGCCCTAGGGCTGGCTGGGTATTCCCCAGACTTGCAGGCAGGAAAGGTGGGCTCCAGGACTCGGGGGTAGGTTTGGACTGCCAGACAAATGGAAGAGCCCGCACACCTCCCTCTACGGTGCTGTTACCTCCAGAGCGGCGGAAGGCTTCTTTTTGAGTTCCTCACACTTTCTGAATTTGCAAATCTGATGGCCAGTCTTTCGGTTCCTACAACTGCTGCACTGCTCGCAGTTGATGCGCCGCCGGCAGGGCGCACACATGCCGCAGCGTTTCCGCTTCTTCTTGCCTGAGCTGATGGCAGAAGCCAGCTCTCCCTGCATGGGGTACTCGGCCAGGCCAGCCATGTGCAGCGCACTCTCGGCCAGGAACACACCAGCTGGGGTCATGATGAAGAGGCCTGGATTGATGGGGAAAGCGCCCAGGTAGGGGAAGTCGGACTGGCCATTAAGGGCATCGGCGCCAGCCACAGCCTCCATGTCAGGCAGGCCAGCACCTGCCTCGCTCATCAGCGGCAGGTGCTCCTGCACCACGCGCTTCAGCATCTCTGTGGACTGTGCGAACTGCTGCAGCGTCAGCTGTCCCTCGGCTGCCAGCTCCGTAGCCCGCTCCGCCTTGCTCAGCAGGCTAGCCACAGCACCACTTTTGTGCTTTGAGGTAGGGTTGCTTTTGTCCACTGCCATGGCCGCAGCCAGGTCATGACCATTGGCCAATAGGGAGGCCGCGGCCGCGGCGGCCTTCTCCGCAGACTCCCCACCTATCAGGCTTCCGCTGCCGCCACTGCTACCAAAGGAAGAGTAGTGGGAGAGTGGGCGGGACCGTCGCAGGCTCTTGTTGAGGGGTTCGCTGATGATGCCACTCTTGTTCCGACGCTCAGGGGGTGGGGCGTCGTCTGCCACCGAGGCTGGTGTAGCCGCAGCCACTGTGGTACTTTTGTCTGTTCCTCCTGCCTTTGGGCCACTGCCACTGCTGCTATTGGTGGTGGTGGTGGTGCTGCCACTGGCGTCCTGGGAGCCACCGCCGAGGCTCGACATGGTGGGGTTGAGGCCCAGACCCCACTGCTGGGAGAGCCTACAAACTGCTGGGGGCTCACAGACGCGTGCGTAGCCCTGCTGCCCTCAACAGAGATGCCTGGTGGGCCTCGCTCAGGGTAGGTACATGGTCAGGTGTCCACGTAGAACTGTCTTTACTCTGTTGGGAAAGGTGGGGACAAGGTCAGTAAACCCTCCTCCTCCTCCTCAGTATCACCACCCGAATCACCATGGTAACAACCAGATGCTTGATAAGACATTAAGTGCCAAGCCTATCTTGGTGAAGAATTTATTTGGACTATCTGACCTAAGATTCAACAGAACCTTAGGAAGTGACAGGTGGTAATCCATTTCATAGCCAGGGACAAGGCTTTTGAGAGTTACTAGCCCACACATGGCCACTGAGAGGCTCAGGGAGGTCTAGGCCAGGTGGCCCCAGCCCAGATGTGCTCTGTGAAGACCTAAATCTACTAATGAAGGAAAAGTGCCTGCTGTCCTTGGTGGGGGAGGAGATCTGGAGGGGCTAACCCTGGAGGGTTAATGACCTCCACTTTTTCATCTTTGGTCCCTAACCATCAAAGAGAGGAGTAAAGATAAGGACCACAACACTCCAACGGCTGTCCCCCCCCCATGCTTGTTTGGAGGCTGCAGTAAAGGACTCAGGCTGCTCTGTTCAACCCAAAGGCTGATGGAGTACAGCACCCTTGCTTTAAGGATAAGGGGGAGCACGGGGCCTGAAGTGGGAAGAGTGGGAAGGCACACACACATTCCACACACTTCCTCCTCGTTCCCAAACCAGAGCTATCATCACCTCAGCTCCTGGTCTGGTGTGGGTCTCTAGCCCTGGCCTGGCTTCCAGGCAGAGGGAGGGCACAGGCCTGATAAGAAGCGCAGAGTAGGGATTCCAGTGAAAACCCAGAGGGCTGGGATGGAGAAGGTGGAGGTGAGCAAAAGCCTATCCTCTGGCCACCTGCACAGTTCTGAAGCCAGGGCCTTTTCCCAGGACAGGGGGCTTCTGAACTCCAGCCTTAAGCAGGGCATGTGAATGGCCAGTCCCGTCCAGATGGAGCAGGGTAGCAACCCCTCATCAGTCTTGGCTTCCCAGCATCCCATCCCTATAGGCCTGCTTCAAGGACAGGAGTGAGAGCACAAGGCCCAACCCCTGAGCAGCTGGTGGCTCAAGCCGCAATTGAACATCTGGTGAACCCCACCCTACCCTGGGCTTGAGAGTTGGGAACACATCAGATCTTTGTCCCCGGACAACCCCATCACATCCATGGGGCTGCCGCCCTGACACTCAGCTTGTACCAGGTCGGGCAGTCCAATCCTCTGCACTTACAAAGGGGTAAACCTGTAACCCACAGGTCCTCTGCTCCAGGACGGCAAACAAGCACCACAAAGAGTGGTTATCACACCCAACTGAAACGCTCCAGGGAGGCAACCTGAAGCCTCACTTTGTAAGTTCTTCCTCAGGTCTCCATGGAGCTGAGTCCACCCAGGGCACCTAGCTGAGGGAGAATCAACGTTGGAGCCCACTTGGGACAATCCTAGAAAGGCATGGTCAGAGGTCAGGCCATGCGAGGATTTTGTGCTATCGCCCATTTCAGGGGCCAGCCTACATCACCTTCCCACCTCGTTCCTGGCACCAGTGACTTGCGTGTGCACAGGGAGGGTGTCTGACACAAGAGTCAGAAAGCGCCTAGTCACCTCTTCTTGCTCGTGCTCACTGAGTCCAACCTCCTTGTCCAGGGCCACAACCCAGTAGCTCCGACTACAGAGACAGGGAAGAAGGAAGAGGTCTATGGGCTGGAGCGACAGGAGCAAAAGCCCTCGTGTCCCCCGCCTCTAAGGCCTGCTGGCTGGTGGCAGAAATCGATAGCCGCATTAACGCTGCTCTTGCTTGCTCAAGCTCTCCCTCCCTCCACCAGTGCTGCACGCAGGGCCCCGCAGGTCAATTAGAAGTCAGCTCCCTTCAACACAGCAAGCACCATGGTTCAGGGCTGGCGCTCACTTGCTCAGGCTGAGCCTCTGCTCTTTTGTCCCCATCCCCAGTCTTCATGTGTGTTGGGGACAAGTTTTGTGTCCTATCCGTCTCCGGCCCCCTCCTAGAATTTTTCTCCTCACTCTGGTTCTCCCAGGGACCACCTGCTCTTGGTCCATGAGGTCTGAAGACACACTGAGCTTTGGACAGAGAACGTGATATGTCACCAAACAGGTGCTGCAGGCAGAACACTGGTTTGTCAGCCCTGGAAACTGAAGGTGGGGGAAGGATACACATGGGGACTGGCCAGGGAGCAGCGGCCCTCAAATGCAGACAGCCGGCAGAGATGCAAAACTAATCCTCATGGCCTAGGCCTAGTCCCCAGGCTTCTTCTAAACCTGCGTTTGTGGCTGTGTCATCAGCCTAGAGAAAGGCTGATGCCCTCCCTGGCCCTGAGGACCCCTCACTACAGGCCCCATTTAACCTACTCACAGAAGGAAAGAACAGAGGGCATTTTCCTAGGCCCTCGCCTTTTACAGCAGGGCACACAGCAACCCCTCCCAGGCCAAGGAGGGCCTGGCAATACCCAGGCAGCAGGGAGAGACAGGGCTGCGTTGAAGCGGAGCGGGAATGAGCGGGAGGGAAAGCTGGCGGGCAGGCAGGCGGCAGCGGCGGGCGCATCCATCATCCGCCCTGCCAGGAACGCATCCAGCCCCCAAAAAGAAATACTGCGCCTGAGGAGGGACAACAAAGGGCTCCGTTTCATCAGCAATGCGGAGCCAGCGCCCCGCCGCCCTGCCAGCCGCGGTCAGCCCACAAAGGACCCCTTTGTCCAGGCAGGAGCCCGGCGGCCTGGAGCTGGGACCAGGGGCTGACGGGTGGGGATAGAGCCTGGGGGGTGAGGAGGAGACAGGTGGTTAAGGACACAGAATGTTGACGATAGAACTCAGGAATGGGTCAGAGACAAGACCTGGTGGGATGCACCCGAGGCACGCTAGAGGTCAGAGGGTTACACCGGGGCTGGGGATGGGAATGATGGAGGCAAGAGAAAAGCAGTTGGACACATCCATAGAGGGAGGAGCCTAAGAGTGATACTCCGGCACCTGATGAGACCATGTCTAACCTAAACTGAGAGAAACGATGTAAGGAGAGCTGGGGACACAGAGTTCTGCTCCAGATCATGGCCACAGTAGCTCATGGAGGTTAAGACTTTGGCTGTTTGAAGCCAGGAAACGTCAGAGATGTGGCCATCTGCCAGTAAAAGGGTGCAGGGGTGGGGGTGTGGAGTGGGGGTCGGGGGCTGCTCCTACCTCTGCCCTCTGAAGGGACAAACCTTGTCCTCTTCAAACCAGTGCCCCAACTAACACTTAACTAAGAACCCCTTGCTAGCTGCTTACATTTTATTGAGCACCTACTGTGCTGTGGTATTTGTATGCTTCATGTTGATAATAACCAATAACCAGTTTCAGAGATGAAGAGAACAAGGTTCACAAAAGCTCAAGCAGTGGCAGAATTTGAACCCAGAGCTAAGTGTTGATCACCTGCTCTAAAACTGCCTTTGTTCTACTTGGGCAATTAACAGAACAGCCCAAGGCAAAATGGCCCAGTTATCCTACTGCCCTCCCTCCAAATTGTTACCATGCCTGTCACCTCTTCCTGGTCAAGGGTGAGCTGTCACAGGCCCCCAGGGGAGTGCCCCACCTGGAGGTTTAGAGATACACATGCAGGAACTCAGAATGCTAGGCCAGTGACATCATAATGCCAGCTGGCAATGAGGTCACCAGAGCAGTGGCCTCATCCTACCCTGCACCCCAGAAGAGACTGACCGCATGGGGGAGGAGTTCACATCTTGGGAGGGGCTGATGTTGTGTTCCTAGGAGGCCTGCAGCTAGATCTTCTAAATGTTTTGTGGGTTCCCTTTCCTACTTATCCCAACAGTGGCCCGGCGCCCTGTGCTACTGTGGAGGGGGCAAGGAGGTCAGACACTGACCCTTCCTCCCGGGGTCCATGAGAGCTGCGGTGGTTGTGGCTAAAGAAGCCAGTATGACCTGGAAGAAGACTGAGTGAGGCTAGAGGGTCTGCTCAGAGGAAGAAGCTGCCAAGCAGAGCTAAGGCCACTGAGCAGTTCCCTGGGGACACATGCTGAAAGCCTTGGGAAGAACTAGGTGAAGGCAGATACCAGGTATAGGCTTTTGCAGGGTCCCGTCAAGGACGGGACTTTTACATATAATTCAATGTTTCCTGGGGAGGGGCGCTCCAACAGCCCCAGCCTCCTGGATGCTGGGGTTACCGGGGTTAGCTACCATTCCTGTCACTGGTTCCATGATTTTTAAGTGCATTTTTAGAATTATGCAAGTACCATTCTGTCTGGGGCAGGTTTCCCAGGGTGCTATGCCTCTTCTACTGAACTGGGTCTAAGAAGCTTCTAGGCCTATGGTGTTTGTGGAAGGCAGCCTCCTGTACTAACCACAGGGCTTTGGCCAAGCAGAACTCAGCATGGCTAGGTTGGGCTAGCACACACTGGTTTAGAACCCCTCTACCTACCTGGGTACAGAGGGGAGCATTGCTGATGAGCAATATAAGGAGGTCAGACAGGCAGACAGACAGATGTTGGCAGGGAGCCCAGACCACAGGTTCCAGTGACTAAACTGAGCAGATCCACTCACACTGAGGAAGGGGTTCTGTCTGGGAAGTTTCTGGAAGTTAGGAGCCCCCCTTGGGCCCAAGAGACAGACACGGGTGATGATCTTGGAGGCAGAAAGTGCAGCTGCAGCCTGAGGCCAGAGCATATACCCAGTAAGAAGAACAGACCTGTACAGCCATTGCAACCACTCAAGCACCCAGCAATTGATTGGGATGAGCTATGCCCTGGACACCACCTGGAGATCTATTCACATTCCAAGACAGTAAGAAAAAAAAAAAAGGGGGGGGTTGGGGGAGCAGGGTTTGGTGGTGTATGCCTTTAATCCCAGCACTTGGGAGACAGAGGTTGGGTGGATCTCTACAAATTTGGGGCCAGCCTGGCCTACATGGAACTTCAGGGCAGCCAAGGCTACAGTGAGAT